GGGTATGGGGGGGGGGTCCACTTTGCAGCCCCCCTTCAGAGGAGGAAGGGGCCTGGGGCTGAGGGGAGTCTCACCAAAGGGTCTTATAGGGTGGGGGGGGGGGGGAGGAGGAGAGGTCCCGATCCAAGACCTGGCAGGAGAAGGCAACAAGGGTCCGGCCACAAAGTCCTGTGCCTTTTCTCTCTCTCTCTCTTTCTTTCTCTTTCCTTCCTTCCTTCCTTCCTCTCTTCTCTGCCTTTCTCACAGACACCCAGGGCGAGGCCATTAGCACTTCAAATGTGTCCCAGGACCCCTCTCTCTCTGGTTCAGCGCCTTGGACGGCCTTTGAAGTGCCAGGAGGGAGACCACCGCCTTTGGGTCGGGTTTCCGTGGGCCATTCATCTTGAGAAGAAGAAGGCAGAGGAGGAGGAGGAGGAAGAGGAGGAGGAGGAGGAGGACCCCTTGGCCTTGGAAGGAAGGAGGGATGGATGGATGGATGCAAGGGAGGAAGCAGACCCCCCAAATCCCCAGCCTGCGTCCATTCAAACATGATGGCGCTATTGCACCGAGGTGCCGGTGGTCCCTTGCGCGAAAAGGCAGGAGAAGTCCTTCTGCCACATCAAGAGGCCTTGGGAGGCATTGTCCTCTGCGTTGGGTCTTCCCTTGTTGCCGTCACTGGGACATTGTCCTCAGACACCTCCCTAGAAGTTTTTTGTGGGGAAATGGTTCCAGATCTGGGACCCTCCGGCAAGAGTTGGAAAGCAGAGGCTTCAAAGAAGGAGTAGGTTGAGGAGGAGGAAAGAGGTGGCAAGGAGAGAAGAACGAGGAGGAAGAGGAGGAATGCCATAGAGAGATAGTAACAAATGCGGTCATCGCTAAGGGTCAACATGGATTGACCCAAAACAAGTCATGCCAGACTCATCTGATCTCCTTTTTCAATAGAGTCACAAGCTGGGTAGATGCAGGGAATGATGCCGTGGGTGGAGCGTACCTGGAAGGCCTTTGAGAAGGTCCCCCATGAGTCCAAGTCCCCTTTCAGGTCCAGATCAACTACACCCAAAAGTATTGAAGGAAAAGCGGAAGTCATCTCGGAACCATTGACAACCATCTTTGAGAGTTCCTGGAGAACGGGAGAAGTTCCAGCAGATTGGAGGAGGGCCAATGTGGTCCCAATCTTCAAGAAGGGAAAAAAGGAGGACCCAAACAATGACCCATGTCCGGTCAGCCTCACGTCGATACCAGGCAAGATTCTGGAAAAGATGGTCAAGGAAGTGGTCTGCAAACACTTAGAAAGGAATGCGGTCATCGCTAAGAGTCAACATGGATTTATCCAAAACAAGTCATGCCAGACTCATCTGATCTCTTCTTTCGATAGAGTTACAAGCTGGGTAGATGCGGGGAATGCTGTGGATGGAGCGTGTCTTTGAGAAGGTACCCTATGACCTTCTGGCAAGGAAACTAGTCCAATGTGGGTGAGGCCAAACTACGTTGAGGTGGATCTGGAATTGGCTAAATGGACGAACCCTGAGGGTGATTCTCCCCAAGGCTTCCTCTTCATCTTGGAAAGAAGTGATAAGTGGAGTGCCATCAGAAGGGTTCCGTCCTGGGCCCGGTCCTGCTCAGGACCTTCATCAATGACTAAGATGAAGGGTTAGAAGGCAGGATCATCAAGTTTGCAGACGGGACCAAATGGAGAGGGAGAGCCAAGACTCCAGAGGACAGGAGCAGGACTCAAAGGGATCTTGACAGATTAGAGAGATGAATGGCCAAAACTAACACAATGAAGTTCAACGGGGAGGACAAATGGAAGATACTCCACTTGGGCAGAAGAAGTGAAATGCAAAGAGACAGAATGGGGGACGATGAGGCCTGGCTCGAGAGCAGGACGTGTGGAAAAGATCTTGGAGTCCTCGTGGATAAGTTAAACATGAGCCAGGAATGTGATGTGGCGGCAAAAAAAGCCAATGGGATGTTGGTCTGCATCAAGAGGAGCATAGTGTCTAGATCCAGGGAAGTCCTGCTCCCCAAGCTCTATTCTGCCTTGGTTAGACCACTTTACCTGGAATGTTGTGTCCAATTCTGGGCACCACAATTCAAGACAGATATTGACAAGCTGGAATGTGTCCAGAGGAGGGCAACTCAAATGATCAAGGGTCTGGAGAACAAGCCCTATGAGGAGCGGCTTAAGGAGCTGGGCATGTTTAGCCTGAAGAAGAGAAGGCTGAGAGGAGACATGATAGCCATGTATAAATATGTGAGAGGAAGCCATGTTAGAGGAGGAGGGAGCAAGCTTGTTTTCTGCTTCCCGCTGGGCATGTTTAGCCTGAAGAAGAGAAGGCTGAGAGGATGATGAGGCCATGGAGGAAGCCACAGGGAGGAGGAGGGAGCAAGCTTGTTTTCTGCTTCCCTGGAAACTAGGACGCAATGGAGCCATGGCTTCAAACTACAAGAGAGGAGGAGATTCCATCTGAACATGAGGAAGGACTTCCTGACTGTGAGAGCCGTTCAGCAGTGGAACTCTCTGCCCTGGAGGGAGGGTGGTGGAGGCTCCTTCTTTGGAAGCTTTTAAACAGGGGCTGGATGGCCATCTGTCAGGGGTGATTTGAATGCAATATTCCTGCTTCTTGGCAGAATGGGGTTGGACTGGATGGAGGTCTCTCCCAACTCTTTTATTCTATGACTGTGAGAGCCGTTCAGCAGTGGAACTCTCTGCTCCGGAGCATGGTGGAGTCTCCTTCTTTGGAGGCTTTCAAACAGAGCCTGGATGGCCATCTGTCAGGGGTGATTTGAATGCAATATTCCTGCTTCTTGACAGAACGGGGTTGGACGGGTTGGCCCAGGAGGTCTCTTCCAACTCTAGGATTCTAGGAGTTTTGCCCAAATCTCGGGCGCGCCTTTCTATTGTAGGAATGGGTAGAAACGCTGGAGAATAATACAACAACACACCACCTTGGACTCGTTACCTGGGTTTATTTGAAGCAAGACACACCAACAGACACCACAACGCCTATAATCCAGAAGGGACACACAAAACATACAAAGGCTTATTGCTAGCACAGGCTTCCTCCAAAAAGACGCGCAAGAGGGAAAGGAAAGGGGAAAGGGATGCCAAGGCGGCTCCAGTTCCTCCCTTGGCAAAGGATGAAAATGTAGGGAACTCCAGGAACTCCAGGAAAGGAGGAGATGCTGCTCATTGGCTTGCAAAGGCATGCGGGGAAAGGAGGAGATAATGGGGGAAGAAGATGGGAAAAGGGGTCGTCACAGGGAATGGATGACGGACAGGCCAGTCAGTGGGCATGCAAACAAGCCCATGCATTCACCGACATGGCTGCTCTTTTGGGGCGGATCTACACTACAGAACAGATGCCGATTGATCCCACTTTAATGGGCTCAGTGCGATGGAATCATGGGAACTGGAAATATATATTCTCGAAGGCTTTTCATCACTGGGTTGTTGTTTGTTTTTTCAGGCTATATGGCCATGTTCTAGAGGCATTCTCTCCTGACGTTTCGCCTGCATCTGTGGCAAGCATCCTCAGAGGGAGTGAGGTCTGTTGGAACTAGGAAAAAGGGTTTATGTATCTGTGGAATGAATGACCAGGGTGGGACAAAGGACTCTTGTCTGCTGGAGTTAGGTGGGGATGTTTCAACTGACCACCTTGATTAGCATATAATGGCCTGGCAGTGACTGGAGCAATCTTTTGTTGAGAGGTGATTAGCTGTCCTTGTTTAATGTACTGTCGAAGGTTTTCATGGTCGGAATCATTGCCTGAATCATGGCAATGTCCCAGTGGGTTTCCTTGGATTGTATGCAGAAAAACTATGGCAAACTATCCCAGAACTGGGTTGTTGTAAGTTTTTCGGGCTATATGGCCATGGTCTAGAGGCATTCCCTCCTGACGTTTCGCCTGCATCTATGGCAAGCATCCTCAGAGGTCGTGAGGTCTGTTAGAAGTAGGAAAAAGGGTTTATAGATCTGTGGAATGACCAGGGTGGGACAAAGGACTCTTGTCTGCTGGAGCTAGGTGTGAATGTTTCAACTGACCACCTTGATTAGCATTTGATGGCCTGGCAGTGCCTGGAGGCAATCTTTTGTTGAGAGGTGATTAGATGTCCTTGTTTGTTTCCTCTCTGTTGTTTTGCTGTTGTAATTTTAGAGTTTTTTAATACTGGTAGCCAGATTTTGTTCATTTTCATGGTTTCCTCCTTTCTGTTGAAATTGGGTCAGGAGAGAATGCCTCTAGTCCATGGCCATATAGCCTGAAAAAACCTACAACAACCCAGCTGGAAATATGTTTTAATATATGGGTTGTTGTAAGTTTTTTCGGGCTATATGGCCATGGACTAGAGGCATTCTCTCCTGACGTTTCGCCTGCATCTATGGCAAGCACTACTTCTGAGGATGCTTGCCATAGATGCAGGCAAAACGTCAGGAGAGAATGCCTCTAGACCATGGCCATATAGCCCGAAAAAACCTACAACAACCCAATGATTCCAGCCATGAAAGCCTTCGACAATACATTATTATTATTATTATTATTATTATTATTATTTATATATCTGTGGACATCTAATCACCTCTCAACAAAAGATTGCCCCAGGCACTGCCAGGCCATCAAATGCTAATCAAGGTGGTCAGTTGAAACATTCACCCCTAGCTCCAGCAGACAAGAGTCCTTTGTCCCACCCTGGTCATTCCACAGATATATAAACCCTTTTCCTAGTTCCAACAGACCTCACTACCTCTGAGGATGCTTGCCATAGATGCAGGCGAAACGTCAGGAGAGAATGCTTCTTGAACATGGCCATATAGCCCGGAAAAACCTACAACAAAACAGTGATTCCGGCCATGAAAGCCTTCGACAATACATTTTAATATATGCATGCAACAGAGTGTTTTTGAATGATTATTCAAAATTTTAGCAATGTATTATTATTATTAGTAGTAGTAGTAGTATTATGATTATTCAAAATTTTAGCAATGTATTATTATTATTATTAGTAGTAGTAGTAATAATAATAATAATAATATATTCTTCTTTAGCCTTCTCTGCCAAGAGAGGCACCAAACGACAGCTCCCAGGATTCCCTAGCATTGAGAATAGATCTCAAAGTGGTGCCAAACCGCATCAATTCCCCAGTGTAGACGGACGCAGCCTTGGGATATATGAGTTCCTTCATCTGAGGCTTTCCTTCTGGCTTCAGGTGCAGAAAGGCGTTTATTTCCCGACTCCAGGGCTTAGGGCGTCTGAGTCATTTGGGGAGATGATGTTATAACAAGAGCAATAATAATAACAATAATATTAACGATGCTGGGCTCATGTAACGATGATGCTGTCGCAAACAACGGACACAGCTGAATATACACAGCTGCCCTTCCAAACAATCCAAACAAAGCCCCCAAACGCAGGCCTTTGCTTTTGGCCCAGTTTCGTCATGAATCGTGTCCAAAAACCACAGGAAGCTTTGTGTTGTGGTGTCCTCTGTTGTCGCTCTGCTTCATTCAAGTGGGCAACGTTGTGCCCAGGGGCGGTTCACCCATTACGCAAAGTACGCAGTCGCGGTACAGTTCATTTTGCCCAGGGGCGCTCTTGAGGCGCTGTTGGGGGGAAATAGACCTTGACATATGTGAGTTGTAGTTATTGGGAGGTATAGTTCACCTACCATCAAAGAGTATTCTGAGCTCCACCAATGATGGAATTGAACCAAATATGGCACACAAAACTCCCACGATGAACAGAAAATATATATCAGTGATTGTTTGGAGGGGGGAGCGCCAAAATACTGTTTGCTTACCGTTGAAAATTACCTAGGGCCGCCTCTGGAGAGCTATAACCTCTTTCACAGAAACCGAACAAAGGGGAGAGGAGGCGGAGTAGCCTTATATGTCAAAAACTGTTACGCTGCAGAAGAGATGCAAGACAGCAATCCGGGAAACCAGCCTCTGGTTGTGCCTTGAAGCCCCGTTTTCACAAAATACTCTCCTTCGGAAGAGTGTGGCCCTTACCAACCGTGACCAACAGCCTTCCAAAAGGATGAACACATGCAAAAGTGACCCCAAAATGGCCCAAATCCACGGCGAAGTCCGAAATCTGTTGTTCCTCCAAACCACGGCTTGTGTTTCTGGAACGTGGCCCCTGTTTTGAGTCGTACTGAAGGGTTTACTGTCGAATGAAGCAAACCGAAGAAGCCGTAAACGTCTTTCTTTTCAGCATGTTTTCAGATGAACTTGTTTTTTTTGTAGGAGTCGATTGTGGCCACGGAACGCAGCAATGGACCCGGTTGCAATTTGATTTAATAATAATAATAATAATAAAAAAGAATCCGACAAGGTCAGTGTCACTTGGTACAAATTCCTGAGTGCCAGTCCTCACGAGGAAAGCGGCAAATGGGTCGCTCGCCAGATCCTTAGGAGTTCTTCTGAGGGATCTTGATCGTCACCGTCTTCACCTCGCAATACTCCCTCAGGCCGCACTCGCCCCTGGAGGAAAGACAAGTGCGCCAGAGGAGGATTAATAATAATAATAATAATAATCTTTATTTATTACCCCGTCCGCCTATTCTCTTCGGAGAGAACAGAAGCTCTCCGAAGCTCAAACTACGGCCCGCGGGCCACTTCCGGCCCACCAGAGGCACTTATCTGGCCCACGGAGGAGCAAACCCCCCCCCACACACAGTGCCCCTCCCTTGGCTGGCTCACGCTATCCGTCAGGCCTGATGGGCAGCATGAGCCAGCCAAGGGCAGCTGCTCCGCAAGGCCTACTCGCGCGTAAAGCACCTAGGCCACGCGGAGCAGCTGCCCTTGGCTGGCTCACGCTGCCCATCGGGCCTGACGGATAGTGTGAGCCAGCCAAGGGAGGGGCACTGTGTGTGTGTGGGGGGGGGCGCTCCTCCTTCGCGGGCCAGATAAGTGCCCTCTGGTGGGCCGGAAGTGGCCCGCGGGCCGTAGTTTGAGCTTCGGAGAGTTTTCTGTTCTCTCCGAAGAGAATAGGCGGGTGGGGTTCTTACCCTTGAGACTTCTGCTTCATGTTCAGATCAACCTGAACGACGTTGGGAAGTCTCAAGCGCCTTCAAACCAGTTCTTTTGGCAACAGAGGAAGACTTTGTGTCTTCCAACATTGGCCATTTGGACTGGGGTGGTGGATTGCTCCGGCATTTACAGCCATTGAGAAAGAGGGACCTGGAAAAGCTCCTCAGCTGCAAAACTCCTTGGACCCAAGACAACCAGAGACTTGGTTTTCCTTCACCCCTTTGAAACTTCCAGCTAATTGCCTTGAAGAGATAACTCTTTGTGAACATTAAAACCTATGTTGAGTTAAGAGCCAACACTTACATTTCCCTCCCGTTGCCGGACATTTTGAACCCTCCGAAGGGACTCTGGGCATTGAGGGCGTTGTAGCAGTTCACCCTGATGGAGATAAAGAGAGAAAAAGGAGGGACTTGGAGCATCGCCCAGTTGTTCCTCTCCCTCCCAACCCACGGAGGCCGGTTCTCACCAGACAGTGCCGGCCTGCATGGCGGAGGAGACAGCCAAGGCCTTGTTGAGGTCGCTGGTGAAGACGGCGGCCACCAGCCCAAAGTCGGAGTTGTTGGCCCGCTCAATGACCTCCTCCATAGTCTTGAAGCGCAGGATCCCCTGGACGGGGCCAAAGATCTGCAATGGAAGGGCAGCAGCAGTGTTATTAGTCTCCCCCCAAGAACATTGCTTGGGGTTCCAGGATAATCAGGGAGTTCTAGAGTTCAGGAGGAACCAAGATAATGATGTTTATACCTGGAACTTGTTACCAGAGGGATGTTGTTGAGCACTGTGAAGGAGCGTAAAATTACTGTCACCAATTCAATGTTTCTTCACTAGAGGCACAATAGTAAGGTTTCATGAGTAACTTTAGGTACAGACTTTAAGAGGTTTCTGTAAGCAGATGTATCTTTCCTGGACAACTGTCCTAATAAAACAAATAAGCTAAAAGGCTTATTTAACAGAATTGGCTCCCAGCCAAACCTTGATTCTTAACCCAGAATCAATCCCCTCCTGTAGCTTTATCACTACCGGATCCTTTCCTGTAACCCTTTTGGTCACAAATTAGTTCCCTGAATCTCCACCCAGAGATTTCAGTCTTCCCTGTAACTCTAACGGTCACAGACTCTTCCCTGTTTCTCCTACTAGAGATTTCAGTCTTCTCTGTAACTCTAACAGTCACAGACTAGTTCCCTGAATCTCCCACTAGAGATTTCAGTCTTCTCTGTAACTCTAACGGTCACAGACTCTTCCCTGTTTCTCCTACTAGAGAAATCAGTCCTTTCTGCAACTCTAACGGTCACAGAATACTTCCCTGAATCTCCCACTGGAGATTTCAGTCTTCTCTGTAACTCTAACGGTCACAGACTGCCTATTTCAAACAGCCTTGCAGCTAGGTGACATTTGGCTCCACCCCCATTGCTGTGGCAACTCAGGCCAAGCCAGCCACTATCTCTAACAAAATATAATATAATTCTACATACTTACCATTTATTAACTACTGTTTAAACAACACATAACCATAAGAATAAAATTACACATCTTCACAAGCACCTTTAAGTGGCTCCTGATTCATGGCAATGACCCAGTGGGTTTCCTTAGCCAAAACGTGGATTGTGTGCAAGAAAACTATGGCAAACTATCCCAGAACTGGGTTGTTGTAGGTTTTTTTCGGGCTATGTGGCCATGGTCTAGAGGCATTCTCTCCTGACGTTTCGCCTGCATCTATGGCAAACATCCTCAGAGGTAGTGAGGTCTGTTGGAACTAGGAAAAAAGGTTTATATATCTGTGGAATGACCAGGGTGGGACAAAGGACTCTTGTCTGCTGGAACTAGGTGTGAATGTTTCAACTGACCACCTTGATTAGCATTTGATGGCCTGGCAGTGCCTGGAGCAATCTTTTGTTGAGAGGTGATTAGATGTCCTTGTTTGTTTCTCTCCTGACGTTTCGCCTGCATCTATGGCAAGCATCCTCAGAGGGAGTGAGGTCTGTTGGAACTAGGAAAAAGGGTTTATATATCTGTGGAATGACCAGGGTGGGACAAAGGACTCTTGTCTGCTGGAGCTAGGTGTGAATGTTTCAACTGATCACTTTAATTAGCATTTGATGGCCTGGCAGTGCCTGGGGCAATCTTTTGTTGAGAGGTAATTAGATGTGCCTGATTGTTTCTCCTCTGTATTGTCGAAGGGTTTCATGGCTGGAATCACTGGGTTGTTGTACGTTTTTTCGGGCTCTATGGCCATGGTCTAGAGGCATTCTCTCCTGATGTTTCGCCTGCATCTATGGCAAGCATCCTCAGAGGTAGTGAGGTCTGTGAGAACTAGGAAAAGGGGTTTATATATCTGTGGAATGACCAGGGTGGGACAAAGAACTCTTGTCTGCTGGAGCTAGGTGGGAATGCTTCAACTAACCACCTTGATTAGCATATAATGGCCGGACAGTGCCTAGAGCAGATTTTGTTGAGAGGGGATTAGATGTCCTTGTTTGTTTCCTCTCTGTTGTTTTGCTGTTGCAATTTTAGAGTTTTTTAACACTGGTGTCCAGGGAGAGTTGATGTTGCCAGGGGCGCTCTTGGGGGAAAACAGACCTTGACATAATGTCACCTTCTCTCCCTCTGAGGACAATGGCAGTCAGAACAGTGGTTGACCTTTCCCTCTAGACTTGGGCAAAAACAAACTGCTGCAGGACAATCTTTAGATGGATGAAGGGCCTGACGGAGCATCTGCCAACCATCTCCGTGTCAGAATACAATAGCTGCAGAATGGGGGCCACAAATGTCATCTCTGGAGGACCTCCTTCTGCACCTGATTGCATTTCCCAACCGCTGGACGCACCTCCTCTCTGGCGATGCGCATGTCGTCGGTGACGTTGGAGAAGACGGTGGGCTGGATGAAGAAGCCTTTGCCGGGGAGGCCTTGGCCCCCGCACTCCAGCCGGGCCCCCTCCGCCACCCCGCTCTGGATCAGCTCCAGCACCCGGTCGTACTGCTTCTGGTCAATCTCAAGGGCGAAGATGGGAGAGAGAGAGAGAGAGAGAGAGAGAGAGAGAGGCATCACTCAATGGGATCCTTCCAAGACCAGTTTGGGGGGAATTGGAGGAGGGGGATGGGACACACCTTGCTTTCCTAGGTGCATTTCACACCATGATTATGACTCATTGGGTGCATATCTCTGACTATCCTACTATGCATTGAATAAATGTATCCAATTGTGTTGTGTGGGGTGATGTGGTGTTGTATGTTTTCATGTTATGCTATGTTATGTTGCTAGCTGTACCTGCCCTGCATCTCGTGGGGCCAGAGCGCAGTCTGTTCAGTGCCTTCCGAGTCGCCCCGTCTTCTGTGTGCCCAGGGGGGAGTCTCTCATTTGGTATCAGTTCTGGGTGTGAGCCTGCCACTTTTGGACTCTCGCTTGCTGAGGTGTTCCAGCGAGTGCTTCTATAGATCTTAGAAAACTATGTCTTGATTTCAGACTCAGGGCGGTTAACACAGGCAAGTATTCGATGCCAACAGTATCAAAACAACAATATAAAACAGCAATATAAAATCCATTACATAACAATTAAGCAGTGATATTAATTAAAATTACATAACCACATAGAACAGATCACAGAATCACAGGTTGTAAAGCCATTTCCAATTTTCAAACTGTCCTATTGTCCGAGTTCAGTGCCTAAAGTGCTGCTAAAGTGCCCATTCGCCAAATGCCTGGCTCCAAAACCACCTCTTTATAGTTTTTTCCTAAAAGTAAGGAGGGAGGACGCTGATCTAATCTCGCTGGGGAGCGAATTCCACAAGTGGGGGGTCACCACCAAGAAGGCCCTGTCCCTTGTTCCCGCCAGGCGCGTTTGAGACGCTGGTGGGACCAAGAGCAGGGCCTCCCCAGTAGATCTTAAATTACGAGGTGGAACGTAGAGAGAGAGACGTTCGGATAAATAAGCTGGGCCGGAGCCATAGAGGGTTTTATAGGCCAAGACCAGCACTTTGAATTGTGCTCGGAGGTGGACCAGCAGTCAGTGGAGCTGACGCAGCAGGGGTGGTGGTGTTGTGGCTGAGATGTTCCCTGATGATGAGGATGATGGGATTCAGATTCCTGGCTCTTTTTCTGTGCCTCAGATCTCTGGGCCTGCTTCTAGGTCTTTTTCTGAGGCTCCCACAGACAGTGCAACAGAGTCAACACAGCGGTTCTCGGGGGAAATGAATTTTAACGAAGGAGATAGCGAACAGGTGGGGAAGCTTTTGCCTCCTTCCCACGCTGATACTGAAAGTGCAGAAAGCCTTGACAGTGACCTGTCCCGGCAGGCTCGTCTTGATTTGCGGGTCAGGCGGAGTTCTCGCCTGGCCAGTAGACGAGAAGCCAGCTCAGACCAAGGTCATCGCAATGCTTTCATGTTGGTGAGAGCATAATGTTTTGATGTTAGAAAGGTATTTAGGCCTCGTGCAAACTAAGGGAAAGCGTCAGTTCAACGTAGCTTATTAGCCTGAAAGCTTCACGGAATACCTTAGCTGGAAAGCAGCCCGCTTGGGATTTCTTGCATTGTGATTCTTGGGGCAATTGTCTTTGCTTGTACCTTGGACTCTGTTTTGAACTTTGCCTATAGGATTGTGCCTCTTGTTTTTACCTGAAGATCTTTGGAACTTTGTGATGCTTATTCTTTATTTTGACTTGGATTGTTTCCTCAATAAACTATAAACTACAGGTCTTGTGTGGTGATGTTTGGAAGCAAGGTGAAGCTTACTCTGAGTTGCAACAGGTATTATGCTCCCTGTATGGCGCTCCGGTGAGTAATCTGGCTGCCACCGTTGGATTAGTTGAAGTCTGCAAACAGTCTTCAAAGGCAACCCCACGTAGAGTGCGTTGCAGTAATCTATTCAGGATGTAACCAGAGTGTGGACCACCGTGGCCAAGTCGGACTTCCCAAGGTACGGGCGCAACTGGCGCACAAGCTTTAACTGTGCAAAAGCTCCCCTGACCACCGCCGAGACCTGGGGTTCCAGGCTCAGCGATGAATCCAGGATCACTCCCAAGCTCAAACAGCCACGTTGTAACTTGCCTCCGAAACGTCAAGAGGGAGGGAGCAGATCTGATCTCCCTAGGGAGGGCCTTCCATAGCCGAGGGGTCACCACTGAGAAGGCCCTGTCTCTCGTCCCCACCAAACATGCTTGTGACAAAGGCGGGACCAAGAGCAGGGCCTCCCCAGATGATCTTAAAGTCCTCAGTGGTTCGTAAGGCGAGATACGTTCAGAATGACTCATTAGGTGCAGATCTATGACTATTCGGCTCTGTGTTGGCTGGCCTTCCAGCGGGGACTCCATGGTCTGAGGGCGAATAGGCTGAAATCAAATCCTGACCAGACACAGAGGCTCCTGGTCAGTCATCAGGCAGATCCGGGTCTAGGGATACCACCTGTGCTGTGACCTGAAGACGCAGGGTCGCAACTTGGGGCTGGTCCTGGACTCACTGGTGACCCTGAAATCTCAGGTGTTGGTGGTGGCCAGGAGTGCCTTTGCACAATTAAAACTTGTGTGCCAGCTGTGCCCGTACCTTGAGATGCCAGACTTGGCCATGGTGGTCCACGCCTTAGTTACATCCCACCTGGACCACTACAACGTGCGCTACATGGAGCTACCTTTGAAGATAGTTCGGAAGCTACAGCTAGTTCAGAGATTAGTGGTCAGGTTGCTCACTGGAGCTCTGTCCAGGGAGAGATCCACTTCCATGCTACAGCAGCTCCACTGGCTCCCAGTTTCCTACTGGGAGAAATGTGAAGTGCTGGTCATTACCTTTAAAGCCCTTTAAAGCAGTGTTTCTCAACCTGGGGGTCGGGACCCCTAGGGGGGTCGTGAGGGGGTTTCAGAGGGGTTGCCAAAGACGATCAGAAAGCACATATTTCTGATGGTCTCAGGAACCCTTTTGGCAGAGAAGGCTGAAGATCTCTCCGCCTGTCCTCATCCTTGTTGGTGTTGGTGAACGACAACTCCCAGAACTCAAAAACAGCCCCCCAACCCCACCAGTAGCTAATGTTGGCCATGTCTGTAGTGTGCCAAGTTTGGTGCAGATCCATTTTGGGCTGGGTTCAGAGTGCTCTTTGATTGTAGGTCAACTATAAATCCCAGCAATTACAACTCCCAAATGTCAAGATCTATTTTCCCCAAACTCCCCCAGTGTTTACATTTGGGCATATTGAGCATTCGTGCCAAGTTTGGTCCAGATCCATCACTGTTTGAGTCCACAGTGCTCTCTGGATGTAGGTGAACTACAACTTCCAAACTCATTTACTGTATTTTCTGATGGTCTTCGGCGACCCCTCTGACACCCCCTCGCGACCCCCACAGGGATCTCGACCCCCAGGTCGAGAAACACTTGCCGTATTGTATTCTGTTCTGTTTTGTTTATGATTTCATGTTGATACGATTACCTGTATTTTTTCAACTGATTGTGTATTTTTGTGGCATTAAATGGTTGCCTTTTATGTTGTAAGCCCCCCCCCCCCCAAGTTCCCATGGGGGGAGATGTGCGGGATCGAAATAACGTTTGACTAGGGGTGGATTGATGTGGTCTAGTTGGGGTGTGACTGTATTTTTTCAATTGATTGTGTATTTTTGTGGCATTAAATGGTTGCCTTTTATGTTGTAAGCCCCCCCCCCCAAGTTCCCATGGGGGGAGATGTGCGGGATCGAAATAACGTTTGACTAGGGGTGGATTGATGTGGTCGAGTTGGGGTGTGACTGTATTTTTTCAATTGATTGTGTATTTTTGTGGCATTAAATGGTTGCCTTTTATATTGCCCCCCCCCCCCCAAGTTCCCATGGGGGGAGATGTGCGGGATCGAAATAACGTTTGACTAGGGGTGGATTGATGTGGTCTAGTTGGGGTGTGACTGTATTTTTTCAATTGATTGTGTATTTTTGTGGCATTAAATGGTTGCCTTTTATGTTGTAAGCCCCCCCCCCCCCCAAGTTCCCATGGGGGGAGATGTGCGGGATCGAAATAACGTTTGACTAGGGGTGGATTGATGTGGTCTAGTTGGGGTGTGACTGTATTTTTCAATTGATTGTGTATTTTTGTGGCATTAAATGGTTGCCTTTTATGTTGTAAGCCCCCCCCCCCCAAGTTCCCATGGGGGGAGATGTGCGGGATCGAAATAACGTTTGACTAGGGGTGGATTGATGTGGTCTAGTTGGGGTCCCCCAAGCGGGTTGTGATATGTGTTCAGATGGATGGGGCCATGTGGCCGGTGCTTTCGGACCCCGTCCCACGCCTGCCCCTACCTGTGGGCCTTGCTCGGTGGTGGGGTCGAAGGGGCTTCCGAGGGTCCTGCGCTGGGCCCGCTCCACGCTCCGGCGCACAAACTCCTCGTAGATGGGCTCCTCCACGAAGACCCTGGAGCCGGCGGTGCAGCACTGGCCCTGGTTGAAGAAGACCCCTTGGTGGGCCTGCTCCACCGCCTCCTCCACTGCCGCAGAGAAAACAAAGCCCGCTTGGCACCCACCTCACACGCACAAACAAGGCTTCAAAGCCAAGCCGGCAACAATTGCACACATCTGGGTGGCCCCCTCCCTCCAAAACCACGCCTGGATGGGGTTTGTGGATTTCAAAGGATCACAAGGGTGCCGTGACGGAGGATGCGGGTGACTCACGGGCGATTCCTGTAAGAACAAGGCTGAGATCAAACGGGCTTTGCAGGGACCCCACCGAGACCCAGAAGGAAGCCAGAAGCCAACGCAGGAGGCGGCTCGTTTCCGCCGGATGCGTTCATGTTCACACTCCCAAAACCACACTCTTGCAGCAACACATTCATGCGCTCTCCTTTGGGGCTTTGCAGGCACTTTGCAAGCTCTGAGAAGACCACCCCCACCCCAAAACAGGAGGCAAGGTGGACATGGAAATCCAGCGCCACGTCTATCAGGTTCCCCTTGCCTACCTCAAAGGATGCTCTTAGCAAACTAACACATGCATGTCATAGAATCCTAGAATCCTAGAGTGGGAAGAGACCTCCTGGGCCATCATCCAGTCCAACCCCATTCTGCCAAAAAGCAGGAATATTGCATTCAAAGCACCCCTGACAGATGGCCATTCAGCCTCTGTTTAAAATCCTCCAAAGAAGGAGCCTTCACCTCATGCCAAGGCAGAGAGTTCCACTGCTGAACGGCTCTCACAGTCAGGAAGTTCTTCTCAATGTTCAAGTGAAATCTCCTCTCTTGTAGTTTGAAGCCATTCCTCCATTGCATCCTAGTCCCCAGGGAAGCAGAAAGGAAGCTTGCTCCCTCCTCCTCCCTGTGGCTTCCTCTCACATATTTATACATGGCCCTCATCATATCTCCTCTCAGCCTTCTCTTCTTCAGGCTAAACATGCCCAGCTCCTTAAGCCGCTCCTCATGGGGCTTGTTCTCCTGACCCTTGATCTGTTCCCTCCTCCTCCCTGTGGCTTCCTCTCACATCTTCATACATGGCTCTCATCATGTCTCCTCTCATCCTTCTCTTCTTCAGGCTAAACATGCCCAGCTCCTTAAGCCGCTCCTCATGGGGCTTGTTCTCCTGACCCTTGATCTGTTCCCTCCTCCCTGTGTCTTCCTCTCACATATTGATACATGGACATCATGTATCCTCTCAGCCTTCTCTTCTGCAGGCTAAACATGCCCAGCTCTGTAAGCTGCTCCTCACAGGGTTTGTGCAGAAGACAAGCTTGCTCCCTCCTCCCTGTGGATTCCTCTCACATATTTATACATGGCTATCATATCTCCTCTCAGCCTTCTCTTCTTCAGGCTAAACATGCCCAGCTCCTTAAGCCACTTCTCATAGGGCTTGTTCTCCAGACCCTTGATCATTTTAGTCACCCTCCTCTGGACACTTCCCAGCCTCTCACATATTTATACATGGCATCATATCTCCTCTCAGCCTTCTCTTCTTCAGGCTAAACATGCCCAGCTCCTTAAGCCGCTCCTCATAGGGCTTGTTCTCCAGATCCTTGATCATTTGAGTCGCCCTCCTCTGGACACATTCCAGCTTGTCAATATCTCTCTTGAATTGTGGTGCCCAGAATTGGACACAATATTCCAGGTGTGATCTTACCAAGGTGGAATAGAGCATGGGGAGCAGGACTTCCCTAGATCTAGGCACGATGCCACATTGCGGGGCCTTGAAGAGTCACTCAAAGTATTTGAGGAATAAAATGGAGGATGAGCAAACTGCAAATTGGGAGGGATAGCCAAGACTCCAGCAGGATTCAAAATGAAGTTCAAGAGGGACAGAAAAAAACGAAATGCAAAGATATAGAATGGGGGATGCCTGGCTTGAGAGCAGGACGTGTGAAAAAGATCTTGGAGTCCTCGTGGGGAGGAAGGTAAACATGAGCCAGGAATGTGATGTGGTGGCAAAAAAAGCCAATGGGATTTTGGCCTCAGGCATCAAGAGGAGCCCAGTGTCTAGATCTAGGGAAGTCATGCTCCCCATTGCTCTGTTCTGCTTTGGTTAGACCACTTTACCTGGAATATTGTGTCCAATTCTGGGCACCACAATTCAAGAGAGAGATTGACTCTAAGCTGGAATGTGTCCAGAGGAAGAGGGCAACTCAAATGATCAAGGGTCTGGAGAACAAGCCCTATGAGGAGCGGCTTAAGGAGCTGGGCATGTTTAGCCTGAAGAAGAGAAGGCTGAGAGGAGACATGATGAGGGCCATGTATAAATATGTGAGAGGAAGCCACAGGGAGGAGGAGGAGGGAGCAAGCTTCCTTTCTGCTTCCCTGGAGACTAGGACGCAATGTCTTTAAACTACAAGAGAGGAGATTCCATCTGAACATGAGGAAGAACTTCCTGACTGAGAGCCGTTCAGCAGTGGAACTCTCTGCCCCAGAGTGTGGTGGAGGCTCCTTCTTTGGAAGCTTTGAAACAGAGGCTGGATGGCCATCTGCCAGGGGTGATTTGAATGCAATATTCCTGCTTCTTGGCAGAATGGGGTTGGACTGGATGATGGCCCAGGAGGTCTCTTCCAACTCTAGGATTCTAGGATTCTCTGTGTATTCTGACAACGTCGTTACCAGAGTGGTCCGGAATTTCTGTGTTTGCAAATAATATTCGGTGTGATCTTCATGGTGGATCCCACTCGACACTTCCAAATCCGGCTTGCTAAGTGCACCCCTCACATTAGTTCAACCGATAAGAGTTCTTTCTCTCCCCCTGGACATGAATGCTTCCCCAGGTATCTTATATACTCTGCTTGCTTGACCACCATCACATCCTCTGAAGTTCCCAGTGTAGGGGAAACGTCAGGAGAAAATGCTGCTAGAATGCACTGACCACACAGCCTGGAAACCACACAACAACACCCCAGGGATTCTGGCCGTGGAAGCCTTTGACAATACATTTCCAGAAATTCTTGGAAGAGATACTGGTAATCTAACGGAAGGTTTGAATGGGCAAAAAGAAGGACGCTGGGCATCTATCTCCTGCACGGCAATGAGACGTGGACTTACAGTCTGCATCTGCAAATATGATGTTGGGGCTCTTCCCCCCAAGTTCCAGGGTCACTCTCTTCAAGTTGCTTCTCCCGGCGGCTTCTTGGATCAGTTTCCCCACCTGGAAAAAGGTTTTTCAAAAGGTTATAAGGCAATGCCTGGGAGTTGGAAAGATCAATTGTTGACAAGAAGCGTTGCCCAGGGGATGCCCGGCTGTATTGACTCCGTCTTCGAGGAGGCTCTTTCCGTGTCCCCATTTGGCCAAACAACACAAGCAAAAGGATTGGAAACAGTCCAGAGCCAACTTCTGAATGCCCCGAAAGATCTCTCCAGTGACTCCAAAGAGAACCTCCTGAAGCCTGACCCTGCTGAGACCCAAGCGTGGGCTTCCCACCTATGGAACCGTGAAGCCAACAGGACATCGAAGATCTCATCCTAAGATGAGCTGTCTTCATAGACCTGTCCGCAGCCTATGAGACTGTGAACCACCGCTGCCTCCTCCTGAGAAAAATGTATAGTATCACAAAGGACGACCACCTCACCCGCCTCATACGAAACCTGCTACAAAACAGGAGCTTCTCTGTTGAGTCCCAGGGCCAGAGAAGCAGATGGCGGAAACAGAAGAACGGCCTGCCTCAGGGGAACATGCTTGCTCCATCCATGTTCAACATCTACACAAATGGCCAGCCACTGCCAGAAGGGGCAGAGAGTTTCATCTATGCTGATGATCATGCCATCACTGCTCAAGCAGGGAGCTTTGAGATGATTGAACAGAAGCTCTCCGAAGCTCTAGGTGATTTTTGCTGCCTATTACAGAGAAAACCAGCTGATCCCTAATCCATCTAAAACACAGACATGTGCTTTTCATCTCAAGAACAGACAAGCATCCCGAGCTCTGAGGATTATTACCTGGGAAGGAATCCCACGGGAGCATTGCAGCACACCCAAATACCTGGGAGTCATTCTGGACCGTGCTCTGACCTACAAGAAGCACTGCGTGAACATCAAGCAAAAAGTAAATGCTAGAAACAATATCATACGAAAGCTGACTGGCACAACCTGGGGATCACAACCAGACACAGTGAAGACATCTGCCCTTGCGCTGTGCTACTCTGCTGCTGAGTACGCATGCCCAGTGTGGAACACATCTCAACACGCTATAACAGAGGATGTGGCTCTTAATGAGACATGCCGCATTATCACAGGGTGTCTGCGCCCCACACCACTGGAGAAATTACACTGCTTAGCCGGTATTGCACCACCTGACATCCGCCGGGAAGTAGCAGCCAATAGTGAAAGGACCAAGGCAGAGACATCTCCAGCTCATCCCGTTTGGGTATTAGACAGCACATCAACGACTTAAATCTAGAAATAGTTTTCTAAGATCTACAGAGACAGTCACTGGAACACCTCAGCAAGCGAAAGTCCAAAAGTGGCAGGGGGTTGCAGCCAATAGTGAAAGGACCAAGGCAGAGACATCTCCAGCTCATCCCGTTTGGGTGTCAGCCAGCACGTCAACGACTTAAATCAAGACATAGTTTTCTAAGATCTACAAAGACACTCGCTGGCACACCTCAGCAAGCGAGAGTCCAAAAGTGGCAGGCTCAAACCCAGAACTGATCCCAAATGAGAGACTCCCCCCTGGGCACACAGAAGACGGGGCGACTTGGAAGGCGCTGAACAGACTGCGCTCTGGCACCACGAGATGCAGAGCCAACCTCAAGAAATGGGGCCACAAAGTGGAATAATCCACGACATGCGAGTGCGGAGAAGAGCCAAGCACTGACCACCTGCTGCTATGCACCCTGAGCCCTTCTTCCACATGATGCACAAGGGAGGACCTCCTTGCGGCAACACCACAGGCACTCCACGTGGCCAGATACTGGTCAAAGGACATTTAATCCACAACCAAGCTTGCAAACTCTGTCTTTTGTCTGTTGGTTAAAAACTTGTTAAAATTTTATTTATTTATTTATTTATTTATTTAGCAGTTTTGTATACCGGTCTTCTCACTCACCTCCGTTCGAGGGTGTAATGCAATGTAATACAATTGTCTGGTTGATACTGACACAATAAATAAATAAATAAATAAAAATCATTATTACTTGAAACACAACAAGATTAGGACACAACAAACAAGATCACTCTGCTGGCTGTTGTAGTGGGTCACATGTTGGACAGACACTTCCCAAATGTCTAGGTCCTAGGACTAGGTGAATCATGCATGCAGATCCGAGTCAGGTGGCCTTTTGCAGCTGACCGATGGGTCATTTTGTCAGCACCGATTGTGTTTAAGTGCAGGCCAAGGTCTTGAGGCAGTGCGCCCAGTGTGCCCATCACCACTGGGACCCCCTTGACTGGCTTGTCATTGCAGTTCCATCTTTAAACCCCCCTATCGTATTATTATTATTGTTGTTGTTGTTGTTGTTTTACTGACACAAAAGCACCGTATATCACCAGAGGCACTCCAAGTGGCCAGATACTACTGGTCAAAGGACATTTAATCAACCACTTTGTTTTCTCTGTTTGTTTGTTTGTTTGTTTGTTTTGTTCTGTTAGAAATGCAATACAATTGACTGGTTGCCCTGACACGACAAATAAATCTTTAGGTTGAACTGTATACACCCGCACAATGGGCAGAAATAACTGATCATAGAATCAAAGATTTGGAAGAGACCTCCTGGGCCATCATCCAGTCCAACCCCATTCTGCCAAGAAGCAGGAATACTGCATTCAAATCACCCCCGACAGATGGCCATCCAGCCTCTGCTTCAAAGCTTCCAAAAGAGGAGCCTCCACCACACTCCCTCCGGGACAGAGAGTTCCACTGCTGAACAACTCTCACATAGAATCCTAGAATTGGAAGAGACCTCCTGGGCCATCGTCCAGTCCAACCCCATTCTGCCAAGAAGCAGGAATACTGCATTCAAAGCACCCCTGACAGATGGCCATCCAGCCTCTGCTTCAAAGCTTCCAAAGAAGGAACGTCCACCACACTCCCTCCAGGGCAGAGAGTTCCACTGCTGAACAACTCTCACATAGAATCCTAGAATTGGAAGAGACCTCCTGGGCCATCATCCAGTCCAACCCCATTCTGTCAAGAAGCACGAATATTGCATTCAAATCACCCCCGACAGATGGCCATCCAGCCTCTGCTTCAAAGCTTCCAAAAGAGGAGCCTCCACCACACTCCCTCCGGGGCAGAGAGTTCCACTGCTGAACAACTCTCACATAGAATCCTAGAATTGGAAGAGACCTCCTGGGCCATCGTCCAGTCCAACCCCATTCTGCCAAGAAGCAAGAATATTGCATTCAAAGCACCCCTGACAGATGGCCAGCCAGCCTCTGCTTCAAAGCTTCCAAAGAAGGAGCCTCCACCACACTCCCTCCGGGGCAGAGAGTTCCACTGCTGAACGGCTCTCTCAGTCAGGATCAACACTTGGAAGCAAGGAAAGGAAGGAAGGGTGGGCACAGGCAGGGTTCCAGGGAAATAGGAGCCTTCTCGCATGGCGGTGGCATCGGGTTTGTTTTCCTTTCTGTGGGCGGGAGTGCAGGGAGGAGGATTTATGAGGGTCCCTTCCTTCCTTCCTTCCTTCCTTCAGTTCTGTTTGGCCGTCTTTGCTCTTTCTTGGCTCTCTGGGTGGACAGATGGCGGAGGGAGGGAGGAAGGAAGAGTGTCTCCCCCACTGACTCTCCAGCCAAGAGGAAGAGGGACCTGTCTTGGCAGAGGCACATGCCGCTCCCAGCCCCTGGCCACTCTCCCAAATGCAAGCCTAGACCTAGATCAGTATTCCAAGCACAAGGAAGGAGGCCGGAGGAGGCCTTGTCCTGATGATCTATCTGAGTTCACATTTGAGAGAATATTTATGTGTGTGTGATGTCTCTCTTTCATATCTATCTATATAAAAATGTTCCGTGCGTCATGAGCTCCTTAAAAACAAAAGAACCAATGAACAAAATCACACCAAATTTGGCAACAAAATGTCTCACTACACAAAGGAGTGACCATCACTCAAAAAATTATGATTTTGTCATTCAGGAGTTGTAGTTGCTGGGATTTATAGTTCATCTACAATCAAAGAGCATTCTGAACTCCACCAATGATGGAATTGAACCAATCTTGGCACACAGAACTCCCATGACCAACAGAAAATACTGGAAGGGTTTGGTGGGCATTGACCTTGAGTTTGGGAGTTGTAGTTGCTGGGATTTATAGTTCACCTACAATCAAAAAGCATTCTGAACTCCACCAATGATGGAATTGAAACAAACTTGGCACACAGGACTCCTATGACAAACAGAAAAAACTGGAAGGGTTTGGTGGGTATTGACTTTGAGTTTGGGAGTTGTAGTTCACCTACATCCAGAGAGCACTGTGGACTCAAACAATGATGGATCTGGACCAAACTCTACACGAATACTCAATATGCCCAAATGGGAACACTGGTGGAGTTTGGGGAAAATAGAATCTTGACATTTGGGAGTTGTAGTTGCTGGGATTTATAGTTCACATACAATCAAAGAGCATTCTGAACCCCACCAATGACAGAATTGGGCCAAACTTCCCACACACAACCTCCATGACCAACCGAAAACCTCCATGACCAGCCATCCAGTCCAACTCCCTCCACAAGGGCAAGAAAACGTAATCAAAGCCCTCCTGACAAAGAGTCATCCTGCCATAGATAGAGATAGATATGATTCACACACAGAGAGATAGTATCCTAGATTTGAAAGGGACGCCAAAAGAAGGAGAATGATATGTCGCATGTTCCAGAGGAGGCCAACCAGACAATCTCCACATCCACACTGACAAAGAAACAACAAGGAATACTGGTTACCCACAAACATAAAAGAATTACATGTATTAGAAACCATTACTTTATTTTCCAGATCACCAGTCTGGGCCACAGCAAGGCGTGACAGGGGATGGCTAGTGCGTATATATTATATACGTATTGCAAAGGACTAGGACCTGAGTTCAGATCTGAGATAATATATATGTGTGTATTATGCACGCACACATGCACACAGTGCAAAGGATTATATGTGCATGTGTGTATTTTATATATATCCATATATCCATAATGCAAAGGATTTTTCTTTTTGGTCGTGCCAAGA